GCGCTGCGGGGCCTGTGGGGGTGGGGGAGGAGGAGAGGGAGCGGGGACTGGGGGGCCTTGCTGGAAGTTGAGGACCCTAAGGCCAGGGGCTATAGGGAATCCGGGTGGGAACTGGGGTCGCTCCTCCAGAGTGTCCCCTGTCCTACCCAGGGCACCTTGTCACCTGCCCACCCCGAGAGACAGGTCCTCCTTCCCTGCTACTGTCCCCGGGGAACCCCAGTACGTGTGACCTGAAGCACGCGAGCTCCAGGCTCGATGCAAACTCTGAGATGCAAATAAGTGCAGGCTGCAGGGCGCCTTCCTCCCTTCCTCATGGGGAGGCTAAGCTGCCGGCCTGAAGCCTGAGGGCCCTGAGGCCAGGAAGACCCCAGATGCTCACACCTTCCCCAGGGTCCCAGCTGGGCCAGGGGCCACACAAACTGGCTCCCTTCTGTGGTGTCCACACTAACTGTACTGGCAGGTCTGCCATCCTTCACCCAAAACCGGGCAGTGCAGAACCATCTGACCCACACGCGGAGGCTCTGCCCCTAGACTGCCCTACATAAAGGGTGGGCTACGAAGTGCCAAGAGACCTTTGAAAGAGGAGGGCTTTCTTTGTCCAGCACCCCCAAAGGAGGAGGTACTGTCAATCAGCTTGTTATTGATGGACAGTTTAACTCATTATGTGCCTAAAGCTTTCAAATGGTTATTTTCCCATGCTACAATTCTCTAGACAACCCTGGTTTACAGAGCCGTCCTACCCTCACAGCAACATGACAAAGTTGGGCCTTATCCCCAAAATGAACACAAATAACTTTCTTTTTCGTTTTTTTAGAGAGATTTTTGTGCACTTGCCGGAGACAGTAACCGAGAAATCACCCCCCAGGGAGGATTCCCATGCTGCAATCCCTCTCCTCTAGTCTCCTCTCAGGATTTTGGGCAGCCACGCACATGCAACCTGCATGAGTCTTAAGCCGGTGGTCCAGGTTGCGAACCGTAGTCAACTACGTGGCAGTCCAGTGACATAACCATTATACCATCCTCTGGTCCCAGGAATAAATTTCTTTAGAGAAGCCAGTGCATTCCAAACTACTCCCAGATGTTGTGCCATAAATATGAAGATGATCCCTCTCTGTTGTGGGCTGTTGGGAGTGTCCTGTGATGGGCAGCTCTGTGCTACTGGCTCTGGGTCTGAAGTTTTTGCAGGAGCCGGAGATGTCCCCAGAAGAGAAGGCCGTGTTTTGGTTGTCCATGATGTCATTTGTGACGGTACCTTATCCAAATTATTGACATGAAAAAAATAATATTCTGGATAGTTGAGGCAATATTAGAAAAGAAAAGAAAGAAAGAAAGAAAGAAAGAAAGAAAGAAAGAAAGAAAGAAAGAAAGAAAGAAAGAAAGAAAGAAAGAAAGAAAAGAAAGCGCCTTTGCCTGAATTACATGACTCTGTGACCTGTTTCTCCATCTATAAAATGGGGACACTAATTTCATTTTGCAGGTGTGGTAACAATCAGTTGTGATGATATCTGAAAACGCTTTGTACAACAGAAAGTACAGAGCATTATGCAAATAGCAGGTGTCTGTTGCTTTTTCTTAACCCCAGAAAGCCTCAAGTTCCCAGGGGTTTTATGCCATGTGTTAAACTGTGAGCTGTTGTCAGCTCTTCTGACCCTCAGAAGAAAGCAAAAGTGTTCTCTTATGCAAACATGCAAATGCATACCTGTTGTTTATCTTACTCTTTTTACTGAAGATCCCACCAAAAACATATTATGACATATCTGACATCACTCTCTCCATTTCTGAGCTGACAAATAAATAGGCTGAATAATTCACCTGCAGTCTTACAGTCAACTGGCAGCACCATTAGGATTATAATTCAGCCTTTTCCTCTGACCTAAAATGCTCTGAACCATAAAGCCTTTCTCGGAGTGAAAAAAGAAACAATAAACTGCAAAGAAATGGATCACAAGCCTTAGGGTGCTTTCCCATTATTTTTTAGTAAATGAGCAATTCCTCTTCCTGAAGATACGTCTGTAGTTTTGTTAGTTCCTTGTCTGCCTGTCTCATGCCCTTACCAGACACTGGTGATGACTGTAGTAACCACAGTCAATGGGTGAAAGGTGCCAGACAAACTCCCTATATCCATACCCACCTTTTTCCTTTAGGAATAGCTTATCCAGAGCCCACAAAAGACCTCAGAGACTTAGGGAGAAGAGCAGGGGATAATGATGGTGACAAGACCTGGAATCCTCTCCTTCCTCTAGATTCCTCTGCCCCCAGTTCCCAGGCCTGTGTCCTCTGTAGCAGGGCCTCAAAATCTGACAGAATAAATGCCAGTGAATGACAGACTCAGTATAGAGAACCAGGAGAAGAGCTGAATGCAAGGACTTTGTCTATGAAACTCTTATACACCCTAGAACCAGAGAGGTTCGCACGCCCTTAAGGGTATTCAGAAAATGTTTAAAGATCGAAAGAAACCTCCAAAGAAAGGTAGAAGTCTTCAAAGAAAACAAAGGCTCCTCTCTTTTCTAGGGTGCATGGTGTAGATCACAGACTTGTCATCAAGCATCAAGCCCAAATTTCACTCCTACTTTGCTTGTTTAAGAATTAGAGCAAATGGGCCAGTAGATGGTGGGGTGGTTGAGGTGCTGGACTCCCACATGGCTGACCACAGTTTGAGTCACAGACCTGGTGGCTTAAAACTCAGGCTGGGTGCATATGTGTGTGTGTGTCTGTTCAAGACGGAGAATGGAGGAGAAAGGATTGTCCTGTGGCCATCCTCACTGGGGGATGACGTTTCACTTTCCCTCTCACTGTCTCTGTCTCTCTGTCTCCCCCTGATGAGCACACACACCTCCTGGCAAAAATCCCTAAGTAAATAAATAAATAAATACAATACAATACAATACAATATAAATAAGTAAAGATCCATGTGTTAGGGTCAGCAGGTAGTGTGGTAGTTAAGGCGCTGGACTCTCACATGGCCAAAGGCGGTTCAATTCCTGGACCTAACATCTTGAAAATTATGCCGGGGGTATGTGCATGCCCCAAATCTCCCTCCTCCAACCCCCCCCCATGGAGACTGATCAAAAAAGAGGCAAAAAAAAAAAAAAAAATCCAAGTGTCATGGCCAGCAGGTGGCATGGCGGTTAAGAGCACTGGACTCCCACATGACTGAATGTGGGTTGAGTCCCAGACCTAGAGGTTTGCTTTCTTCTCACTTTCCCTTTCTTTCTCTGTCTCTCTCGAAAATTCTTCTTTTTTTAAAAAAAGAATTATTCTATTTAAGTTTGTTTGTTTGTTAACTTATTTATTTAAATTTGACCAAGGAGGGATAAAGAGAGAGAGAAAGTGAGAGAGCAAGCCACCAGGTCCAGGACTTGAACCGCAGTCAGCCATGTGAGAATCCGGTGCCCTTAACCACTACACCATCTGGCGGCCCCCCCCCAATTTGTTTTAATAATTATTTTATTTAACTTTATTTATTTATTTAACTTTGACTCGAGAGGGAGAAAGAGAGAGACAGAGAGACAGGGAAAATGAGGAAGCAAGCTGCCAGGTCCAAGACTTAAACCACAATCAGTCATGTGGGAGTCCAATGCCCTCAACCACCACATCACCTCCCAACTACTCTCTCTGGAAATATTAAAATAATAATAATAAATAAAGTCAAATAAAATAATTCTTAAAAAAAAAAAATCAAGTGTCAGTTACTGCCTGAAGGCCCCAGACATTCTCTGTGTCAGTCTTCAGCATTTTACCTTTCAGCTGAAGAGAAGTAGATGTTGCAAGAAAGCCATAGATGAGATGGAGAATTGATCTTTAACTCAATTTAGGGATGGAGTTGTTATACATCCAAAAAAAGGAAGAAGGTGCTCTCCACAGATTGAGAGCTTTGTGATATCAAACCCAGGAAAGGAGCCTAGGTGTCTAGAATGAAATTAATCTGAAACGAGAGGCCAGGTTTGGATAAGAGACTGTATATCTTTGTTCCTGTTTTCTGATTTTTTTTTTAATTTCTCTATGCATTTAGATATTTATTTTGAGAGGTTTTTGCCATAGGGTGCATGCGCTCACCAGAAAGACAGAGACAGACAGAAAGTGAGAAATCACACCCCACCCTCCCAGGGGAGAGGGCCGTGCCAGAATGCCTTGTCCTCCATTCTCCTCTCCGGATCTTGGGTCCGCACGCTCACGTGCCCAGCGTGAGTTTAAGCCACCAGGTCTGGAACTCGAACCGCGATCGACTACATGGGAGTCCAGCGACATAGCCATTACGCTAACTGCTGGCCCCAAGCCTCAGTGTTTTAATACTGCTTTAACCGCGTCTTGGTGTCTCAGCTAAGAATACCTGTCTTAGTTCTGCCTGGAAATCCACAACAGGTACTTGCTACTGCTGAGAACGTCTTGGATACAACTGACACTCTTGACTGCCCAGTGATGCCGTCCCTCTGCATTCGACCTGGACTTCCACTTCTGGCACGTGTTGTTCCGTAGTGCATCTCGCCCCATCCTCACTGGTCCTCAGGCTGGGGTGTTGGGAAACCTCCAGGGCATCGCCCTGTGCAGCGCTCTGCTCCAGCTGCAGCCACAGCCACGTGGCCACCTATTTTCTGATTTTTAATTTGACCAGAGAGACACAAATTCTTTTTAAAGAATTATTTTATTTAGGGGGCCATCTGGTTGCATGGTGGTTAGAGGTGCTGGATTCTCACATGTCCGACTATGGTTTGAGTCCTAGACATGGCGGCATGCTTTCTCGCTTTCCCTTTCTTTCTCTGTCTCTCTCTGGTCAAGTTAAAAATAATAATAACAAATAAAATTAAATAAATAAATAAATTATATTTTTTAAATGATTATTTTATTTAACTTTATTTATTTATTTTAATTTGACCAGAGAGGGACACAGAGAAAGAGAGAAAATGAGAAATGCTAAAGCTCACATGTGCTTGCCAGAGAGAAAGAAAGAGACAGAGAGATAGAAAGCGAGAAATCATCCCCTAGGGGGATGACCACACCACAATCCCTTCTCTTCCATTCTCCACTTAGGATTTTGGGCACACATGCACACATGCCCGGTGTGAGTTTTCTTTTGTTTTGTTTTGTTTTTTTTTGAGAGGTTTTTTGCTATAGGGCACGTGCGTTCACCAGAGAGACAGAAAGTGAGAAATCATCCCCCAGAGAGGGTGGTCATGCCACAAGCCCTTCTCCTCCATTCTCCTCTCAGGATCTTGGACATGCATGCATACGCGCCCAGCGTGAGTTTAAGCCACCGGCTCTGGGACTCGAACCATGGTCGACTACATGGGAGTCCAGCAACATAGCCATTACGCCATCTTCTGAGTTTTAAGTCACTGGGTCTGGTATTTGAACTGCAGTCGACTGTGTGAGTCCAGCAATATGACCATTATGCCACTTGCTGGTCCCAAGATTTTTCTTTTTTTTAACCTCCTTTTATTAATTTATTTTGTTAATTAGTTAAATTATTTAAAAAAAGAACAACCTCCTTCAGATAGTCTAAGTCCTGGGTTTTAAAGCCAAAGAAGTATATTCCAAGAGAAAGGTTGGCATGTGACAGACAGCAAGCCTCAAAGGAGTGCCCCTGAGAGAAAGGAAACCAGGGTTGGGAGTCCTATAGCTTCTCCCTTGGTCAATCCCCTGTGCTAAAACCATGAGAGTCAGGGCCAGCAGATGGTGTAGTGGTTATGTCACTGGACTCTCACATAGCCAACCATGGTTTGAAACCCAGACTTGGAGGCTTGAAACTCATGCCAGGCTTGTATGTGTGCATGCCCAAGATCCCAAGAGGAGAATGGAGGAGAAGGGATTGCAGAAGAGCCATCCTTGGGGGTGGGGTGGGGCTGGGGGGGGGGTCTCTGGCCATTTCCCCCCCCCCCCCCCGGGGATGATTTCTCACTTTCTTTCTCTCTCTCTGTCTTGGTCTCTTTAGCAAGCGTACATGCCCTATAGCAAAAAAAACCCTCTAAAACAAAAGTGAAATTCAGGAACAATCTCTGAAGGCCCTGGCTTTGGAAATATGTATGTTAGGATCTTATATTTCTATCATGCTCTGAGTGGGCAGCTAGTTCAGCCACTCTGTTACATCCACAAGAAGGTTCCTTCTAGTGACACCACCTACGGATAGTGGAAGAGCACTGGAAGACATGACGAAAGCAAGGATAAACCCCCAGATGGAAAGCTAACTGGCCCCAGAGTTTTCCTTTTTTTCTCTGTAAATTTGAATGATAGATAGCTGGGCAGTATCGGATGTGATGTCTGGAAAAAGAATCCTTAGCGGCAATGAGAAGTACTGAAAGACGTCACAAGGAGTAATGTAGGTATGATTCAGGCTGTAGCAGAGAGTATTACTAGATTAGAGGGTGGGGCGCCCAAATGAGATCAGCTGGCAAGTTGGTGAGAAGGGGCGACGGCCTGGCCTAGAGGAAGGGCAGTAGGAGTGAGATGTAATGGGTTTGAGAGCTATTAAGAGGTACAAGCTATAGGATCTAGTGCCTTCAGCGGGACATGGAGTAACAGGATGGCACCAAGACCATAAGTGGAAAAGTGGAGCGAGGTAAGCAAGATCAGTGAGTAGAGAATTAGGAGGAGAGTTTCCATGTAGTTTCCATGTTGGTTCCATGTTGGACAAGTAGGGATCTAGGTCCCTTGAGAAACATCCAGGTAATTGTTTCATCTTTCGTAAACAGTTGGATAACCAGGCCTGGAGTTTAGCAGAAAGAACAGAGCTGGGAATACTCTCTTTTGTGTCACAATCAACCCAGGACCCAGCCTGTCTGCTCTAAAGAATAAGCCCAACCCTGGCCCCAGGGGAAGAAGCAGGTTCCCTGAGTCCTTCAGTATGGGTGGAAACAGGTTTAGCAGGTCAGGTTCAAGAGATCAGAGTCCAGGTCCAAGTGTGCAAATAGGCAGAGCCCTGGCAGAGCCACACGACTCACTGCCCAATGCCCAGGGCGCAAGGTGGAGCCAAGAGGGAATGCTCAGGGTTGACCATCTCACCAGGGCCAGCGAACAACATTTTCAACAAGCATTAACAGAGAACTCCGTATCAACCCTCACTCTTCTCTCCCAGAACTGAAAAACAGCTGGGGTAGGAAGGGCCAGGCCCATGATCTAGTGGTTACTGAGCCAGATCCCATATGGCTGGCTGACTACAGTTTGAATCCCGCCCCAGTAACATGAAAAACACACTGGGCAGGTGTGTGGGCGTGCCCCAAATCCTGGCAGGATGGAGAAATGAAGGACAAGGGAGTCCGTCATGACCACGCCCACTTTCTTCTTTTCTGGCTGGCTAGTATGCATGCACCCTTTGGCAATTAAAATAAAAACCAAGGGGAGGAACATGGCCTGAAAAAGCAAATCTAGGGCCAGCCCATAGTGTAGCAGTTAAAGACTATGAATATGGATCAGGATCCCACATGGCTAACTACAGTTCAAATCCTTATGCCAGAGGCTTGAAAAACATGCAGGGGGAAAAGCAGTTAAACATAGTGGTTATGTCGTTGGACTCCAATATGGCCAAGCACAGTTTGAGTCCCGGACCAGTGGCTTAAAACTCGTGCTGGGTGTGTGTGCATGTGTGCCCAAGATCCCAAGAGGAGAATGGAGAAAGGACTATGGCATGACCATCCCCCCTAGGGGGTGATTTCTTACTTTCCCTCTCACTGTTTCTGTTCTACAAAAAAATTTAAAAAATGGGTGACAGCGTGACCATGCCCCATGAGGGAAGGGGGTACATTCTCTCAATTAAAAAAAATAATAAAAGCAAATTTAATTCTCACTTTACCCTTTTGCCTCTAACACAGTGAAACGTGTTGAAAGGGAGTCTTTCCCAAAAGATGTGTCCACCTGGAACCTGTGAATATGAACTTATTTGGAGAAAGGTTGCTGATGTAATGAAGTTAAGGAGCTCAAGATGAGATCATTGTGGATTAGGGTGGACCTAAAATCCAATGACAAGAGTCCTTATAAGTGACAAAAGAGGGTCAGCCCATGGTCTAGTGATTAAGGATCTGGATTCTACATAGATGACTATGAGACTCAAGTCTTAGACACAGCACCTGTATGCATGCGCAAAACCTTTTTTAATTTTTTAAAAGAATTATTTATTTATTTATCTTTAATTTGTTATAGGGCACATGCGCTCATCTGAAAGAGACAAAGAGGGAGAGGGAGAGTGAATAAACAAGCTACCAGGTCCAGCACTTGAACCACAGATAGACATATTGGAGTCCAGCAGCCTTAACCATCCATGACACTTACTGGGCCCTATACCCAAAATCTTAAAAGGGTTGCTGTCAGATGCCATAGTGGTTAAGGGTGTGGGTGGTCCCACATGGTCGACGATGGTTTGAGTCCCAGATCTGGCGGGTTGCTTTCTCACTGTCTTTCTCTCTCTCTCTCACTCTGTCCCTTGCTGGTCAAATTAAAATAAATAGATAGATAGATAGATAGATAGATAGATAGATAGATAGATAAATTGAAATAAAATGATTCTCTTAAAACAAAATCTTTTTTTTTTTTGGAGAGGTTTTTCCTATAGAGCATGTGTGCTCACCAGAAAGAAACAGAGAGACAGAAAGTGAGAAATGACTCCCCAGGGGCGATGGCCACACCGCAATCCTTTCTCCATTCTCCTTTCGGGATCTTGGGCACGCACACACAAGCACCCGGCTTGAGTTTAAGCCACCAGGTCTGGGACCTGAACCGTGGTGGGCTACATAGGAGTCCAGCGACATAGCCATTACGCCATCTGCTGGTCCCAAAAGAAAACAAAATCTTTTTTTTTTTTACCCCCGGGGCTGAGTAGGCTTTATTGGGCGGTGGGTCAGTCCTTCTTGGCGGCCGCCTTGCGCATGGCGGCCAGCACGTTGCTCAGCTCCTCGCGCTTCCTCTTGGCGTGGAGGTGCGTGCCCACCGGCTTCTTGATGAACTTGAGCGCGCACTTGTCCTTGGACACCTTGAGCAGCTCCATGGCGCGCTTCTCGTAGGGGGCGAAGCCGCACACCTCAAGGATCATGTCGCGCACGAACTTGGTGTGCTTGGTGAGGCGCCCGCGGCTGCGGCTGTGCCTGGCTTGCTCACGTTCTTGGTCACTTTGTGGCCCTTGTTGAGGCCCTCGGCCATCGGGTACCGCAGAGCCATGGCTGGGGCTCTCTAGTGACTACTGGGGTGGAAGAACCAGGGTTGGAAAACAAAATGTTAAAAGGAAGTACAGATGGAGAAGGGACTGCAGCGTGACAAAAAAATCCCATGGTTATGCTTTCTCCCTTTCTCTGTCTAAGTCTCTCTCTGGCGAGCACACACACTCTAGCAAATTACAAAAACACAAAGAGACAGAAGGGAAGACACAAAGAAGAGGTCATGTGAAGATGCGAAGTGCAAGGCAAAGATTGGAGTTACACATCAAGTAATGCTAAGGACTGCCAGCAACACGAGAGATGTGGAGAGGCATGGAGAGACTCGCTCAGCGTCTCCAGAAGCA